TTCAGCAGCTACTACCTTACCTTACTACTGCACAAGGCACCTACTACATTAGCCTTTGATTTATCCATTCGGCATGGACTTACAGACTGCCTACTGTGTGCTAGGCATTATTCAGGATGCTCGGGATAAACTTGGACAGGAATCCCTGTGCTCACATCCTTGACCATCAACTGTCATGTGTGTATTTCCACTTTTCAGGGGCAAACTTTAGTGCCCAACTGTTGTTCTCTTAATTCTTTCCTTTCCCTTTGGTTTCTTTTCAACTGATAGATATGTATTGAACTCCCATTATCTGCTGCTGATGTGCCTATCTGTATGGATATTTTGTAAGCATATACTCTCAGACTGAATGGTAGTACTTGCAAAATGCATTAACTCAGGATTTATCTCATGAGTCCAAATTTGAAACCTTAGTCATAACGTACTTAGCTATATATGGCACAGCATAGTCCTTAGGCAATACATTTTTGACACATTTGCGGTATTTCTTTTTGAAAATATTGTTTTTCTTTAATGCAGGATTAGGTCAAGATGAGATCACTGAGGTAGAAGAATTATCTGAGTCTTGGGGCAGGAGAGGCTGTAATTTTAATACCTTGAAAAAAATCTCCAGGTCTAGCCCTACATGCTTGTGTCAGTACTTTTTTATCTCAATATTTGTTATCTGACATTTAAATACTTGTTTGGGAAAAGCGATCCTTTCCTTTTTTCTTTTTTTTTTTGAGAGATTTTTGCAATAGGGTGTGTGTGTGCTTGCCAGAGAGACAGTGAGAAATCACCTTCTAGGAGAGGTGGCTATACCACAATCCCTCCTCCTGCATTCTCCTCTTGATCTTGGGTGTGCTCACACACATGCCTGGTGTGAGTTTCGAGCCGCTGGGTCCCGGACTAGAACTGCAGTAGACTATGTGGGAGTCCGGTGACGTAACCATTACACCATCTGCTGGGCCCTCATTCCTGTTCTTATTTCTAACAGTAATGCTACTTTTGGTCTCAGTCTTCTTCAACCCCAGTGATCTAAAGTTTCTTATCTTTTCTGACCCACACAGCAATTCCTCTCAACCCCCAGACCCCCAAGAAAAGTCTTGCAGAGTTTTCTTCTGAGATGTTTCCTGTATCTGTTTTTTCTTATTCTCCATTTAATTCACGCTTTTCTCATCTTGCTTCTAGATCGTAGAACTCATTTCCTACCTGCTCTCTTTCTCTACAAACTCTCCTCTCTTTCTGCAGCTACTTGTACATCACAACCGGATGCTCTTACTGCCTCCTGGTTAGGGACCTTCTGCGGCTTCCTATGACCTTCAGGATGAAGTTCAAGGTTCCTTGCTTGGCATTTGTCATCCAGTCTGGCCACAGGCTATCTTTTCCAGAGTTTCTTTTTCACTCTTCCCCAATTTGGACCCTCACTGCTAGTTATTATTTAATTAATTTTTTTTTTTAGTATGTCCAATTCAATTTTGTCTGCCTGAGTCTTAAAAAAAAGCTCTTCTTGCCCTTATGCACAATGTCCTCCTGTTTCCTAATACAAGGAAACTTCCAAATTTTCAAGGAAAGAAAAAAGAAGGATCAGCAGATGGTATAATGGTTACATTGCTGGACTGCACTTCGAGTCTTGGACCCAGCAGCTTAAAACTCACGCCAGGGGGACCAGCAGTTAGCGTAATGGCTATGTCGTTGGACTCCCACGTAGTTGACCGCGGTTCGAGTCCCAGACCCGGTGGCTTAAACTCACGCCAGGTGCATGTGCGTGCGTGCCCAAGATCCTGAGAGGAGAATGGAGGAGAAGGGATTGCTGCGGGGCTGATTTCTCGCTTTCTGTCTCTCTGTCTCTGTCTGGCGAGCGCACGCGCTCTATAGCAAAATCCTCTCCCAAAAAAAAAGAAAGCAAAAAAAAAAAAAAAAAAACTCACGCCAGGCACGTGAGTTCATGCGTGTCTAAGATCCTGAGAGGAGAATAGAGGAGAAGGGATTGCGGTGTAGCTATCCCCCAGGGACTGATTTCTTGCTTTCTGTCTCTCTGTCTCTCTGGCGAACGCATGTGCCTTAAAGTAAAAATCTCTCTCTAAAAATTTTTTTTCTTCAAAGAAAAATGAAATTAAAGTACGAGTTTATTTTGGTACAACATTTTTTTGAAATCATGCTTAATATTTTCATAATACACATTTCCATGAAATTTTTGAAGACACCCCCCATATAAACTGCGTCCATACAGTTAAGACTCAGTATCTGTCCTCAGAGTCTATTCTGACCATGTCCCCAACTCATGCACAAAGAGGGAGCTGACCTCTGACTCTCCTTAGCACCGTCAAAGCCATCCTTAGTAGGTCATAAACTGACCTGCACTGGTAGTAACTGTGGTTATTTTTATCTTTGTGCCTTTAAACCAGTTAACATATTTGTGGACAGGAGCCAGATCTCTTGTTTTTGTGTTTCCAGAAGCATCTAACAAGTGATTTAAACTGTGGCTGTCTGTTCATGTCACTCCCAGGGACTTAGAAAAAGGAAACACAACCATGTCAGTCAGGCTCTGGGAGGGAGTCTCCTCTGTGGTGGGCTCGCGAGCCACTGGGGGAGTGCACTCCAGCCAGTGAACTGCTTAGCACCACATAAGGTGTGTAGTTTGATCTTTCTGTGCCTGGAAAATCCAAAGGGACCCTTTCGGTGGCTTGAGTCAAAAATGATTTGTACACCAGCAAATAGGAGTGCCAATAAGGTGTCAGGCTCTGTTTGGGTGCTGAGGCCTCTGCAGTGAACAAAGCATGTCCTGCTGCTCTGGAGCTTTTGTTCTTGGGTGGGGGAAGATGTCATAAATAAATAATGTCAGGTAATGGTGGTAGATGCTGTGGAGGAAAACAAAGCAGGAGAAGTGGGCAGAGAGGAAGCGGTCCTTTTATACGGGCTAGTTCCAAAAGTATTCTCCATCTATCTGTCTTAAATCAGCACATGCTTTAAAACCCAGCATTCTTATTGGGGTCCAGGAGCCCCAGGCAGGGCCCCAGTCTTGAGGTAGGGAATCTTGCTCTCTGCTGCTCCTTGTTGGTAAGGACAGGGCTAAGTGTTCAGTGTAATTGGAGGGGCCCCAGAGAGTGGGCGTCTGGAGGGATGAGGGGGATGTTCCTCATGGAGAAGTAGCCAGGGCACCGTGGGCACACACTAGATCCAGCAGGGAAACCGGAGTGCGCCGGGCCTGAGACCAGGGACTCGGCTGTGAGGTCCGGAGCTGCACCCACCAGGTGCCCCAACCTGGGTGACAGGAGATGCCTTAGCTCACCTCAGAGGTAACCCTTACTTAGTATTCAGGATAGGGTGTCCGCCTCGATAACCAAATCCACCCTTATAACAAGGATTGCCATCCTTACCGTCACTCTAAAAAGATGATTCAGTCAGAACTTTCTCTTTCACATTCTCTCTATGACCGAGAACAGTATTCTTTGTAGTTGGGAAGTGGATGTTTACTCAAATAAGATGTCAGTTTTTAAAGCGTCTAGTTCTGATAGGTGGGAGTCATGGTAGGTATTAGAGTAAATGTATATTTAAGGAAAACAAGACAAAGTTTTATCTGCAGGGCCTTTGTTTTTCTGGGATCCTTTACCTTGGACGCCTCTCCCAGATGGTCAATTTTCAGGCAGGGTGGCCCATCCAATGAGGGGTACTTACTGCCTGGCAGTTGGAGGTGTGGGTATGATGGAGATCCTGTGTGTGTGTGTGGGGGGGTGTGTGGTACTGACGGGCATAGCTGTCACTATCCTCCTTGGTGACATCTCCAGTGAAGGCTGGGGGGCGGGGGGAGTGGGCTGGGGTTAGCTCAGCCAGGCTTGCCTGTAGGACTGGAAGGAAACCTGGCTGGTGCGTAACCACAGAAACAGTAACTTAAGCAATGAAACGAAAGCTCTCCCTTGGTCCACACGCTGGGGATGGCAAAGCTACTGCACTGAGTAGTCCGGCACACTCGAGGAGGACAGTGAAAAAAAATAATGGTGGCTGGCCCTGCCTTCTGGGGCTGGGGAATGTCATTTTCAGAGCGCAGACATCGCTGCCTTCGCCACCCCGTTCTGCGCTCAGGCACATCCCCACTGCTGTCATCGGTTTCCAAGCACAAAGCCGAGAAAACCCAGTTCCCGAGGTCCATCCCTGGGGCCAGAGGGGGCGCTCAGCCAGGTCGGGGGACGCTGGCCGCTCCTCCGGCACCT